TTTATTGATTATAGACCCAAAGTACACTTGTTTAAAACTCCAATTTGGGGTTTTAATAATGAAATTAATTTAATTATTAAATTAATAATGAAATTAATTTAAGCTGATACCTTCCGACAATCAATCTGTTTCCGTCCTCTAATGTAGTTCTTCTCTTACAGTCTCTCTAATTTGAATGTAATTCTTGTGTACAAGATTCTCCATGCCAATATTTTTTAAAAAATGGGTGAACCTGCCATAAGTTCTCTTGTAAACTTTAGTCATCAAGAATTGTCACCAGAAATATAAGTCAGAGTTTAAAAAAATCCTCTATGACTTGATCCATGCTTGTTATTGTTTCCTGCAGTAGTTGACAAGGTGGGTTAAGTAGCAGGAGGGTTGTGTCAAGCATTCTCATCATTCTTATGTTTGCTCAACATAGAGAAATTTTCATATGGAACAATAGTAAGTCTAGTAAGTCTATGGGGTGATAGTGTCAAAACGAATCATGTTGGTGATCATGGTATTAAGATAAAAGCCCCATCCCTTGGGTATGTGCATCAATGTCAGGCATACATACAAAAGAACAGGATTTTAATTATGACTAGAATCTTGACTTTTTTGCTCCCTCTGGAGATGCCACTGAGTGAGACTAAATGATGTCAGCGTTTAGAACTGCAAGAAATGTAATGCTGTCAAGAGAAATTTGTTTGTGGTGGGATAAAAATATAATAAATAAATGAGCCAACAATATATATTTCAGTTTGCAATATATATTACAATTTGAGTAGTAATGTCACAGAACTTTCATGGTTGTTTTGGAATTTTAGATGTTTGTTCTCTGGCCTTCATTGAACTGAAGTATATTTTTCATCCTTCCTTCTCTTCATCATTTATCTAGGGCAGTGTTTCTCAACCTTGATAATTTTAAGGCATGTGGACTTCAACTCCCAGAATTCCACAGCCAGCATTGCTGGCTGTGGAATTCTGGGAGTTGAAGTCCACATGCCTTAAAACTGTCAAGGTTGAGAAATACTGATCTAGGGCAAGGTTGTTGTTTTTTGACATCATTCTCATGACTCTCCATTTCCGACTGAATCCATTCTCTTTTTATTCTATGAAAAAACAATTTCATAATTAAAATTCAAAATAAAGTACAAAATGATGTACATTTTAACTAAAATAAGGTGAAATGGTTTGTCTTCTAACAAAAAATAATGAAAGTGTAATTTAATATGAAAATAACAGAAATAAAAACAAATTTGCTTTCCCATCAGCCTGCTCTGTCTTGATCTTATAGCCATAACTCTACTAATCTTCACAGAGCTTACCTCTTTCTCCCCTCCCCTACTGATTTTCCGAATCTATTATTTCTTTTATGTGCAAAATATTGTGCATACACATTTTTGCAGTATCAATAGATTAGTTTTTTAATACTTAAGTAAAATAAACATTGTTCTAAGCTTAATGAAGTTTGATTATTGGCTATTCAAATTACACCATAGAATCATGCCTAGCCCAGTTATAATTATATAATTATTATGATTGCATAATATCTACAGTCTCTACAAGACTTTTTTTTCTATCTTCACTATTGCTTGTTGTCACTCAGTTCTTATTGTTAGATGCCATTATATGCTGATGAAGAGATGGTTCCCCATACTTCTATTTAAACTTTTCCTAAACAGAATAACAGAGTTGGAAGGGACCTTGGAGGTCTTCTAGTCCAACCCCCTGCTCAGGCAGAAAACCCTATACCAGGCGTGTCAAACACGTGGCCCGTGGGCCAGATGCAGCCCATGCATGCCACTCTTAACCTGGCTCCGCAAGGACAAAAAACATCCCAATAAGTCATGATGTGGCCCACGATGTGATCAGGCTTGACACTCCTGCCCTAAACTATTTCAGGCAAACATCTGTCATCATTTAGTTGAAGTCTGTGGCATACGAAAGATTACAACTTGGAACATAGCAATAGCACTTAGCACTTAGATTTATATATTGCTTTATAGTGCTGTACATCCCTCTAAGTGATTTACAGAGTCAGCACATTGCTCCCAACAATCTGGGTCCTTGTTTTACTGATTTTGGAAGGATAAAAGGCTGAGTCAACCTTGAGCCGGTCAGGATCAAACTGGGGGCAGTTGACAGAATTAGCCTGCAATACTGCATTCTAACCACTGCGCCGCCATGATTCTAAATATTTACTAATATTTACTAAATATTTGGTAAAGGACAAGTGTTGAATGGGAAAAAAAATGTTGAGTGTGACACTAATATATTTAAATGAAGGTGGTTTGATCATATGGAATAGAATTGATAAATATGAATTAAGAGTCTAAAACATTTATCAGAAAGTATGAATTAGTGTCATTTGTGTTGTGAGTACATGTAAAAAAGTAGGAGTCTACATACTGGTGATAATTGCATGTTATGCTTCTGTAAATGATGATGATGAAGGAACCAGAGACAAATATAGGCTAAAATTATGTAATATTTGGCTTGAATGTAACCCAGGGAAAAATGGTTTTTTTAGGTGATGTGAAGGGATGGGTGGGAAGGAGAGAAAATTTAGAAAATTATTATGAATGTAACATCAGTGTCTGACAATTGAAAAAATGCTATTGTTGTTACCCTTTGTAGGGGAAAATGTAGTAAGAGTGAATGCAGAGAATAGAATAGAATAGAGTAGAGCTGGAAGGGACCTTGGAGGTCTTCTAGTCCAGCCCCCTATTCGAGCAGGAGAACCTATACCATTTCAGACAAGTGACTGTCTAGTCTTTTGTTAAAAATCTCCCACGAGATTTGTATTGCAGTATTGCAGCGCCCACGATTTCTGAATGCAAGCTGTTCCACAAAGTATTGATGGGTTAGTTTGTAAAGTGTGCCTAGAAAGATGTTTGACAGAATTCTGATTAAGAAGGTACAAGAAGCAACTGAGCAAAACTTATGAAGTGCAATTTGGCTTTATGCTGGTCAGAAGAATGTGCAACAGACACTGTTCTTCAGAGGTTACTGAGAAATATATGAATGTGAGAATGAACTTGTGTACCTTGGTTGAATGTTTATATGTTTATATATTTATATAAATTAGTTCACTATATTTAGATATTGAATGTTTATAAATTTTAAAATGTGCAAATGCTATTAGAAAGGGTTAAGAGGCATGTGGCTTGCTGTGAGGAATGAATATCAAAAGAAATTAAAATGTCTTCGTGCAACAGTGTGCTTTTTCTCATTCTGTTACATGAAATTGAGAGGGTAGAAAAATAAATTGGCAGCAATAGAAATTGGGAACCTATGAAATATATGTGATAAAACAAGAAATTAGTGATCTGATTCAAAAGTCAGTGAACACTATAATGAGATGATTTTGTCATATAGACAGAATGTACGAAGATCAACTTGCAAGGCAACATTAATAGCACTTAGACTTATATACTACCCTATAGTGCTTTATAGCACTCTCTGAGCAGTTTACAACTTCCGCATATTACCCCCAACAATCTTTGTCCTCATTTTACCAACTATAGAAGGATGGAAGGCTGAATCAACTTTGAGCCAGTCAGGATTGAACTCCAGGCTGTGGGCAGAGTTAGCCTGCAACACTGCATTCTGACCACTGCACCACCAAGACAAATATATTATAGAAGAATGAATGAGACAAGAGAAAGGGGAAGATTGAAACAGTAATGGTTGGACAGAGTTGATAAATTCCTCAGAGTGGATTGTGAACTTTAAATAACAAAATATATAGAAGAGAGACTGGTTAAGCCAGGTGGAGGAGTCAAATAGGGACTTAGCCTAAAATCCCTACGTGGCAGAAAAGGGTGAATTCTGACCCTCTTTGAATGCTATTGAACCTCATCTAGTATACCAAAGTGCTCTCCTGTTATTCCCATCAATAACTTTATGGGGTGGGTAATGGTTTATATTTAATGGAACCAAATGATCTAAGTTTACAGCAGGTAAGATTTGTTAGTTTTTATAAAACACAGCTTCTCTTTGCTGCCTAACAAAAACTTGCCTTATTTCTTTATATAGTGAGTAAGTCCTTGTAACGTTCCATTTTTATAAAAAAGTTGGTATTGTCTGATACTTTTTTCAAAAAATGATCTTGTGCCGTAAGAAATGTTCTTCAGCAACTTTTTCATATGTTAAAAAGTTAACATTGGTGGAAGCAAGAGCCAAATGGTATTTTTTTTGAGACATTGGATATTCTTATGATATCTTGGGACTGGTTATAGGATATAATTTAGCATCAGTTAAAATGAACCCTAGTACTCTATAATATTTAGACTTGAGTTGTGATTAAGTTCAGTACAGGTGAGTCTGTTAACCGAGAGCAAGTAGCTGAACATTATGTTTTACCTTTTAACATGGATCCAGGTATCATGCAAATAGAAGAGGTACATTCAAGTAGGTCAAGTAAGAGGTAGCTTCCTCAAAAGAGCCCTGTTGTAGAGCTTTATCAAGGAATCAGTGTTTTATGTAACAAATGGCTGTTTTAGTAACAAAGTGAGATTGCAGGATTTCTGAGGACCCATATGGATTGATTTAGTGTTACATATAAACCTTATGGCTAGTTTATCAGAAATGGTTAAAGAGTGACACTTTAAATAATATTTCAATTAATTATTATGTTCACTAATGCTCTTCTAAATTAGAATAAGACAGACAAATTCAAAGTTTTCAAGGTGTCTTACGCAGGGTTTTTACTGTTTATATGTGTTTGTGTGTGTGTGTATAAAGCCTTGCATTGTTCTTTTACTGGCTCTTGCACAACAAATCCTGTAGTGATGTAACATTGCTTGGATTTGTTTTTCTGATACTAAATTTTCATTTCACTTTCATTTTGCTTTTCAGTGTATGTTCAGCAATTATATTTTTTAGAATTTGATATTTTTAAATATAATGGTATACAGTGTGAAAAAATATAATAACTGAAAACCTTCATATTGTAGACAGAAGTGTGCTCAAATAGTGATTAATGAGAACACATACTTATGTTTCATTTGTAGAATCCTTCACATTGGGTGAATGTTCACCATCTGGAATACACAGATGGCGGAATCCTGGATCCAGATGACATCTTGGCAGATGTTGTGGAAGACAAAGATAAGGTTGATGGAGAATAATTTCTTTATTTTTAAAGAGAAAGTGTCTCGTTAAATTAAGATATGATTTGGATATAATAACCTCATGCTAAATTCGTATGTGTAATAGATGCTTGTATGACTAATATTAGGTTGAATGCATTAAACATTTATATTACAGTCTCATTTTTGTTTTTGTTGAACTTGGCAAAAATTCTTGAAAAAATACCTGCTATATATTGTTAGCATGTATTAAGTCAGTGGTTCTCCATAATACAGTTCCCTATGTTGTGATGACCCCCAACCACTTATACATCACTGGGTGCCAGGGGCGTGGCCAAAGAAAAGGGGGAAAAAATGGCAGACAGCCTTGTTTGGCAACCCCTGTGAAATGGTCGTTTGACCCCAAATGGGGTCCCAACCCACAGGTTGAGAACCACTGTATTAAGTATTCAATAGGAAAAAAAAATATTGAGTGCCCTTATGATTTTGAAATTTGAGAAGCTCATGGAACTAAGCATTGATTTTAGATTTATACATTGGATTCTATGATTTCACAAAGATAATGGCAGTGTTCTGCATGAATACATGTCTTTCTTCATTAAATATTTTATAAAAGGTTTAATTAATCCATAATTTGAGACAATGTATGCATCCTCCAGACAGTACAGTATTTTCATAGAAATTTCATTTGCCCCTAAATTGATTGATAATAGCAAACAAATTTCTGCCTTTCATTTGTCTCTATTCCATATATTATCTCTTTATGAAAAAAATATGAAAGATGAAATAATCCACTTGTTCTAAATGAATTCATTACTTTTAATGATTGGTTCTTAATTTTCCTACTGAGCAGGGTTTAGAGAAAATATTTGTACAAAAGGATTTTTTGTCTTCCTTCACAAAGTAAAAAAAAAAATCTGAATCATAGGATTTGAGTAGTAGGAAATACAATTGGAGAAAGATGGGAGAAAGTCAGCTTTTTTGTTCCTTCTCTTCCAGGGAGCAGTTTTGAAAAATATACCCATATAACATATTCTCCTGAAATGGTAGATTTGGGGTGGTGGAAGAAATACTGGACTTACTCACTTTTAATAGAGTGAACTCTGGGTCCTATTTACAATGTTTTAATCATTGTTTCATGGTACTATATGCTCAGCAAAGACAATAGTGTAGTATCTGGTCTTTTGTATCAGATTTTTCAACCTTTCCACTCCCATTAATTTCAGCAATGGCCATAGGAAATTCTGGGAGTTGGGAAGATTATTTGATTGGTCAGTAATTAGAAAATAATTGAGGAATGTGAGGATATGTATTAGGTTAGTGGTTCATTTGTGATTTTTATGGGAGACAAAATATATTTTATTCTGAAACATGTATTTTGATAATGTGAATATTCTGCAACAATCTTATAGATTATTTTAAACTAGTGTATACTTTCTATAGTTTCTCTACCATAGAAAGTTGAAGGCCTGAAGTAAAAACAAGTGTAGGCATTACCTGCTTCCAATTATCATACTGCCAAACAACATAGAGGATTTTTGCCCCTCAAAAATTACAACTATTAGCTTTCTACATGATTTGCATTCTGTGAAGGTGAAATGGGTTGTTCAAATAATTCAACAGTCTTGGGTTGTCAGGGAAACTTGTGGCAATTTTAACTGGAAGGCTAAAATTTCTTTTTCTAAGAAAGGAAAAAATGACACAGTTTTGAATAATGTGCTGTTTCTAACTTAAGAAAATTACAGTATAATTAAATGTGGCATGCTGTACATGTTTACTGTGTCTTGTTGCTAATTAACTGTTGAGATTTTTGAGAAGAGCTTGCTAACAGCTGTTTGAGGTAATAAGAATGGGGAGGGCTTTGGAGGTGATGAGCAAAACAACAAAATATTCCAGTAATATAAACTCCTACATTTCCTATTTGAGGAAAAAAACAGGAAACATTCATGATCAAAAAGAAGATTAGGCAAGTATCTTTCAGCTTCTGTTTTTCATTCACCTTTGGTTTCGTATATACTGTACCTTTTACAAGGTATTATTAGTTGTTTCTCTAACCAAATATATCCATATTTCCTTTTCCTTTAGCTTTTTTCTCTTGTTTTTGGATCATCCTTTTCTTATATATCAATGGTGCAGTATATTGTCTTGAGGTCATTTCAGTTGATTGGCAAAATCTATCGTAGGCTATCATATATTTATTTTCTCTGCTTTCTGTGCACTTATTGCTCTTTTTTAAAAACTTTTTCCCTTCTCCATTCTTTCCCCACCTCTTAGCATTTCTTTTTAGCATTTAACACATGATTGAATATTTCACTCCCACATATAATAATTTGGTTGTAACCATAATAATACTTAGAAAAACTGTATAGAAATTCTAAGAAAGCATAAGAAATTACTTAGAAACTATCCTGTCTTTGTATAATTTGCGGTATATATAGAAGACTGGTCAATATTGCTCTTCTTTATGGTATAGCTGAGAATTGCACAATAGCACTTTTAATGTAACAAATTCATGGTCTCCTGAATTGTTCTTGTATACAAGAATATTCCTGGATCAAATCTTGCCTCTGCTATAAATTTGGCAGATTGATGTAGGTTAAACCAATCTTCAAAAACACTGTTATTTTCACTTTGACTCTGTTTCTAAGTTTGCACACCATTGTTTTTTATTTTTGGTTTTGGGTGCTGCTGTTCAGGTGTGTCTGAAAGTCTTGTTTCATTTCTCAGGTGAAAACAACACATACTGGCAAAATGATTTATACTAAAAACATAACAAGGCATTTAGATTTTTAGGAAAGTTTTTTAATAACAGGGATTATAAATATTAAGTTTGAGTTTAGAAAAACATAGTTTGATATTTAACATCACATACATGGCAGAACATTCATTACCTCTTGTGGAAAATCTGAATGGTTCAGAATCAGCAGTTTTGGTTGTTTATTAACATACTCTTATTGAATGGAAGTACAAATAAAACATGTAGAGAGCTCTACACATTTTAATCTGGTGTTCTTATTTCATTTTGTAAAGAATGATTTCATTACATATTTAAAATAAATCTGTCACATACTAAAATATTTAAATAATTAAACACATTTGATTTTTATGCATACATTTTCTAAAATTAACTGCCTTTTTCACACTAATCCGCCTTGTCTCTAATTGGGTTGAAATGTGTGAAAGAGAATAATTTTTCAAAGGGAAAATTAAGTCAACTTTCATCTGTTATTCAGTGTAGAGGGTGTGAGCCAGAAAAAAAAGCTTGTAGTATTTGGAGGTGGTAGTTTTTGTAGTGGTAAATCTCCTGCAGATTAAAATGTCATATTTCTAGCTATTTACACTTTAATACACAAGGGATAGAAATTTCATGGATTAGTCCTCAGCATATTATATTTTGTTTCTTAGTAGATAAAACCTGAAATCTGAGAGAAGTAAATTTGGGGTACTTTTTGTCCAGTGAAAGTGTCTGTCCCATCCTTTGCCATTAAATGAGTACAAAAATGGAAAGAATTTGGAAGGAAAAAATAAGTAGCTACTGGCTATCTCCCCTATAGCAAAACCAATGCAGTTAATTAGTAGGGAAATTATCTATAACTAAGTCATTTTCTAGTCTATAAATTCCTTGGACTTAAAAGCAAACAACCTAAAAATAGTCAATGAGATTTGGCAAATAACTGTTCGCCTCAAAATTGTAAGAATGAGTTTCCTCCAGCAGGATGGCTGTAGAGTCCAATGGATGGGTTCTATGACAGCCTTCCTGCCTGGCAGACTGGGTAAAAACTTCGGCCACACCCCTTCCTTTGGGCGTGACCCCAGTTTTGACTCAGTCTCGAAGCCTGGTAGAAGTGCGAGAAGCAGCTCTTAGGAAAGAAAGAAATTTCACCACAAAGAGAAAAATCTCCTCTTCCAGTTTTTTTCCTGTTTTTTTTGTATTAGCAAGCAGGGATCTCTGGCAGCTGACTAGGACCCTTGATGGACTCCCAACCAGGATCGTCGGAGTGGTGAGAGGATCGTCAGGGGGGCTAGTCAGGGGGGGCTCGGGCCGGTCACTGGATCTCCCGCGGATCCCCGACCCGCCAAACAGCTGTTTGGCGCGGGGACATTCCCCGGATCGCTCGCCGATCTCCGGCCCGCCGAGCAGCGGAGTGGCACGGGGACCCCCACTCCGTCCGGACGGAGGAGCTGAGGCGCCGCTCAGCGCCAAACAGCTGAGCGGCGCGGGAAATATCAACCCGGCGGCCAACAGAGCCGCTGCGCCGCTCGGTCTTGATCAGCTGAGCGGCGCGAGAAGCGCAGCGCGCCCTAACCGACCGGCAGAGCCTCAGCGCCGTTTTTTCCTCCTCAGCGGAGAGGCGCAGCCCCCCTAAGGACAAAAGGCCACTTAAGCCGGTAATTACCCTATTGCTGGCTAGTAAAGATCCGCCATTTTTGGAGCCTCGTGGCTCCTCTGGCTACTATTGGGAGGCGGGGCTTCCTCCCATTCACCATTTTAAACGAGCGGTTTAGCCCGCTGTTTTTCCTTGTGGGTGGGCCTACCATCCGGAGCTGGTTTCCCTGCCTATAAAGAAAGGATTCTCGGTGCAAGTTGCCCGACAGAGGTTACATTAACACATTGGGGCAAGAGGAAGGAAGAGGAATAAAAGAAGAGAACTGCTATCAGTTCTGATCGTGGTCTGCTACCACAGCCACAGATTGGGGAAAGAAAAAAAAAACATATTGACCAGATTGAGTCTGGACCTCAGTGAGGAGGTGAGGAGGAATATTTTTTATCTAACTGTTTCTATTGTGACCTTTAGTCACCGCCTTACAGGATCTTCTTGTCCAAAAGATTCTGTCAGTCCGGCCATTGTTTGTCTGTGCAGAGGAGGACTTTCAGTCCCAATTATCTGCGACTGATCTGCGTAACCTAATTCCCCACTCCAGGTATTGCCTACTCGGGGTACCTGGCACAATGGCAGACAATGTCTCGTATTCAGTCACACAAGTCCCTCAATTGTCCCCCCCACAACAGCAACAAAAGCGCA